GAAGGTTCCACAGTTCAACACTTAAAATACTCATGTCTCGCAAGAACATGATAAACAACATTTTCCACTTAAAACAGATTGTAACATGAACACCAATAATTTTCTGGGTACCAATAAAATCAAATAATCTACCACACATTTCTCAGGCTATAAGCCCCGTTGGATCCAATACCGAACTAAGAGTCATCCTCAGGGTGGCATCTGGGCCTTTTCTCAAAGACGATCCGATTGAAGGTCACCTAGTTGTTTTTAAAGGTCTTTTCCTTACAATGGTTGAGCACTAGAGTCATCACAATCCAACCCGGATCTGTTCCCTAGTGGCCAGAGTCACCACACACAGTGGAATAATTTCCCTGGACTAAATACACACATGGTCCCAATAATCAATACACATCAGTTTCGCAAAACATGGTAGTTCATCATTATAAACATGAGACCAAAACAAATAGTTTACAATATGCCAAGTTCACACATGTTTCAGAAATAATTTGATTCAATTGATAATATAATAATTTATCCAAACAATTTAGTCTTGAAACAATAATTTAATTTTCCAACAGTTCAGGGTAGGGGAACATTTATAAAAATACGTAGCATGAAACTACTCACCTGAAACCGAAATAATATAATTCTCGAATAGAATATGAAAGTCCAACTAGTGCCCTGAACCAATATGAAAACTACACGTCACTACTAATTTAAAAATACTAAACAATACGAACTAAGTAACCCCAAACTAAAGCGCATTAACACGGCTCAACCCAACTCACCGTTACTCTTAAATATTATCTAAGTTCATATTCTTCAAGGTCTAAAATCACCCAAGAAATAGGTTCCGGTCAAAACTTAATTAATTGTGACTTTAAGATAAAACAGAATTTCAAACAAGCCTTCCCAACCTATTCGCTAACTTTGAAAATTACAAAACCCACTCCACGCTATTCAAAAAATTCCAAAAACCTCCAGATATGATCTAATATATCCTAAGTTTCAAACCCAATTGGTTTCACTTGATTTGCTTATCAAAATAATTATCTACAATTTATTATATCCAAACAGGTTGTTTTCTGCAGCACTTTAAAGAAATTGACGGTTCTCTTAATATACACGAGTAATCAATGCAAGACTAAAAATGTACGAAACTAGACTCGTAACCGGTTCTAATGACACTAATTTGATAATTTTTGGATTTATACCCAAAGAGAACAATACTCCCGAATTTACTGTTTCGGACTGGTTTCCTGGACAGATTTGAATACCTCAATTTATATGGATTTTGACTCCCAAAAATTATGAAAAAATTCAGATATACAATTCAATATGTAATTGATCTACTGTAAAAATTTCAGATTAAAATTCATCCGTTTGATATGGTTTCTTGATTTTTAAAGTTTGCGATTCTGTGCAGAATTTTTGACCTAAGAATTACACTCATTCTTTATACATCAATTTAACTCCTCAGATTTCTTAACAGTGTGTACATATATTTACATAATACATAAACCTACAACCTCTCCATGAATGAATAAAATAATTATAGAATAAGGATGAAGAATAAAGAAAGAAGAGAAAAAAACCTAGGAGGCCACACAGCACAACACACCCAAAGCTCTCCTTCTTGGCTACAACAATAATCTTGATGATTGAAAAACCCCTCTCTTTTCTTCATAAACCCACGGCTACTAGGGCTCCTAGTGTTGTGGAAAACAATCATAACAAGAGTTAGGATTTGTGTTTATTTTATTTTATACTAGTGGTAGGCACACGTAGGTCAAATAAATAGATAAATATACAAAACATATGTATAAGTTATATGCAACTCAAATGGTAGAAGTCTTATATATTAACCTTGTGGTCTAGAGTTCAAGTCACACCCTCCTCTCTCTCTCTCTCTCTCTTTTTTTTTTTTTTATAATAAACCTTGTCTCTAAATTAAAGACTTTCACCATAAATTTATTTTAAATTTAAAATTAATTAAGAGATCCTCCAATAATATTTAATTTGCACCTTAGAATTCACCACCAAAATATTTAAGATTATAATATTATTATTTAATTATTTACTTAGTTTTTATATTCGGGTTCTCACAGTATGTCTGTGTATCAGTGTGTGTGTGTGAGTTCCCCTTGTGTGTGCTGGGTCTGTGTGTCTGTTGTGTTATGCCATCTGTGTGTGGGTGTTGTGTGAATGAATGTGTAGAGAACCAGCCCCGAGAGAGGAGAGAGAGATCAGTGCATGTCTTTTTGTTTTTCCTCCTCCAAAAACCCTCCGTGTGTGTGTGCTCTGGTCTCTCCCCCCCTCCTTTTGCTTCAAACAAGTTGGAAAATATAAAGAGAGAGATTTTTTTAATTGTTTTTCACCTACCAAGCCAACAATCATAAAAAATTCACACCCCTGGTGCCCACAGACCTCAATTATTCTGAAGAGGGAGAGATAGTGTGTTTGTTAGGTGTCTCCTCTCCACCCACTCTCCCCTGTCCTCATCTTTTTTCAATTTCCTCCACCACTTTTTAAACCCACTTCACCGAATTATTTTCCATCCAAAACTTATCAAAACAATGTCCACTTTGTTCCCCTTTGAATCCAGCAAAAACAAAATCCTTTTCTATCCCAAAACCCATTATCCTCATCTGACCCTCTCTTTTTCTTTTCTTTATTTTCTTTTTCATTTTTTTATTTTTTTGTTTGTTTTTTTTATTATTTTATATAAAAAATACCTAAAAATGTGTACACACATAAAATTAGATAAAAATTATAAAATACTACAAATTGATAAAATATTAGTGATATAAAATAATTTGACCAAAATAGGTGAGGTTTGAGATTAAAGCTTCAATTTGATTTTCCGGCTGAGAAATTCATAAAATGACATATTTTAATTTTTATCAGCGAGTGGTCAAAACAAAGTGCTCAAGTCTCAGGGCCGGTCAAAATGGGGTGTCTACAAGTATCGATGTCTTTTTCCAAGTGGTGAAATCCCTAGCAGAACTCCTCAGTTAAGCGTACTTAGATTGGAGTAGTTTTGGGATGGTTGACCACTAGGAAGAACTAATCCGCGCAGGTGTGGCCCAAACCGGACAATATCGATGACATGCAAAGGGTTGGGGCGTTACAGGAAGTACTACATATTTGTTAATATCTCGGTGTTATTATTAGTTGATTTGCTAGATTATATTGTCAATTTAGAACCCATATGATTTAACTCAATGTTTAAGACTTTATTTGTATTCCACCATTTTTTTTTTTGTTAAGTAACCTATATAATTTTTTCTTTTTTTTTGGCACATAATGATTAAAGCTATCATTTGTTATATTTCTTCAAGTACAATTTAAATAATTTTTCATCATTTTTTTGATATAAATAAAATGGATTAAAACTATTTTCTTATATAATTTTTACAATTCTACAAAATTCATATCTTGATTAATTTTTTTTTTAAATGATGTAGGAACTATGAAGGTATTATTCAAATTATGGAGAAGGATTTATACTTTGATATAATATGCGTGTGTCATTAATAGAGGAAATCAAAGATAGAAAGTTACTAATATAATCAATTAATGATTTGTTTGAGAATTTCTTTTTATAAGTAAGGCAACAAACTTAAATTAAAAAATTTTAAAAACTGCTTATAAATTATAATTAAAAGTTGATATTTATTCATAATTTGATCCCACAATAATAATATACACCACTGATTTAAAAGTCCAAGTAAATTTATTATAATTTTTCCGAGTTTATAGAATTTCTCTCTTTTAATATTTTGTTTAGTTTGATACAAGTTATTTATGTTATCAAGTGATTGTGATACTATTATTCTCAACAATTTTTATAATTAATAATTTTTTATGCATATCAAATTTTATTGTGAAGTGGATAATTATTGTTAACATCTACCCAAATGGCTTAACATCATGACTTGTCACTATTAAGATATAATTAAAGATTAAGATGATTTATTTATCACACAAAATATATATAGTCTATTTTTTCTTGTATCGCACGGGTTACCGCTAGTTTTAGATAAGAAGAGAATGTTGTTGATTAAAAAAAACAAAAAAAAAAAACAAAAAATAGATAGAAGATTGGAGACCTAGTGAGGATAAGGTTGTGTTGATTTTCTTGCTTGATGCATGTGTGGAAGAGGATCAATGAAAAAGATGGGTTTGTTCTTTTTGCCCAAATTCTTTGTTATTCCTCTTTGGCCTTTACTTTTTCTTTTATTTTCTTTAATTGTATAACAAAAAAGGCCAAATTAGAGGTATTTGGGGGATTTTATAACTTTTTTTATTTTTAAAATTTGTCTTAAAAGTGCTTAGTATAATTTCTCCCAATAGTTATATGAGAAGAGGTGCTTTTAAATGGAGGAGAGTTTTCATCGGTCCAAAATTTGAGTTGGAGGAGGTTGGTTAGGTTGGTGAAGTTTACTATAAGTCTTGTTTTAATGATTTAAACCGTTTATTTTATTGAGTACTTTGTATCCTTCATTTACAAAAAAAATTAAGTCGATCTGATAACTACAACCTGCTCAATTTTTTGTTTTCATCATCAAAAATGTTTTAAAAACACAATCATCATCTTTTTTCAGTGAAAAATATAATAAATTGAACAAGTTACAGTTACCAAATCGATATAATTTTCTTGCGAATAAAATAAATAAAGTATCTAACAAAATAAACGGTTCAAGTTATCGAAATAGAATTCCTAATAAACCCCACGAATTCAAACTATCCCTTCTAATTTAGATTTTGGACGCTCCCTTTTAAATCAACTTGCAATTTATTAGAAGTTACATTAAACTGACATAGGGTGAATAACAAAAATATTTTCTCTTTGCTCTCCGCAGAATAGATATTATTTCCAGCTAAACACAATATAAATGATGAAATAATAATCACTCAATTGTATTAAATAATACTTTAGAAATTTATATAAAATTAAAAGGGAAATTCATAACACACAAATTTTATTTTATATATTACACTAAGACGATAAAATTCTAATTATTTTTAATGATACCGTAATTTATTGAGAATTTTATTGACCAGCTAGACCCAAAAAAAAAAAAAAAAAAAAAACTGTAGATTGATCACATAGTGACAGCTTCCATGAACTCTTCATCATCCCTCAAAGCAACCAACTTCTCAGGCAACAAGCAAACTTCAATGTCAATACTCCCTTCCTCCGCCCCCGGAAAAAGGGTTATCTTCCCATCGCTCTTGTTTCCACCGCCACTTCTCACCGCCACCGGCTTTCCCCAACCAAAGTCATTTCCATACACATTAAACCGAGGCGAACTACTAGTTGCCAAACCATCGTTTGTCAGGACACCCCTTTTCATTATCTTCGGATTCTTCACCCAGTTTTGGTAGAAATCCCTAACCGCTTCGTTAGTTTGCGAAGCAATCGCTTTATTCATTTGCCAAGCCACCCAACCAAGTCCCTTCTCCACCAACTCTCCCGCAGTGGAACATAACACCTCGGCATGAATTGTATTCCCAAAATACCCTTCCGGCAACGAGGGTCGTAGCCTCGGCCTCGCGCTTACCAGTAACACGTATTTCACCTCTTGATTAGAGTCGTTGATGTTTTGGCAGCGTATCACAGATCGCCATAAATGAGCCAATAATGCCTGGAGAGACGAGATAGTTGTGGTGCTCATCTCCGCGTTCGCTTTTGCTTTGAGAGCTGCGATTTTCTCTTTCGTGAAATGAAAAACCATTTCTTCTAATTTTGGTAAAACGAAATTATTGTTTATTTCATCGGCGCAAAAAGGGATTCGAATGGGGACGTCGACTTCATCCGGAAACCAACGCTTGACCATCGGTACTCGCGATATTTTGTCAGAACCCCGCGATATTTCTGACCAAGAATTAAGGAATTGCCAGAAACACGAACCGTCAACGACTGCGTGATTCATGGTGCAGCCGATGAATAGGCCGTCGATGAGCTCGGTTACTTGAACGGCAAGGAATGGTTTGGAAATACCTTCATAGTTAAGGACATTATTGAGTGGGAAAAAAGAGTGGACAATTCGAGGCACGTACACAGGACCGAGGATATCGCTGACATTGGCATTCTCAGCGACAGCGTGAACGAAATGAGCTCCGGCGTTATTGCAGTCTACGAAGAAGGAGGAGGTGTCGTCGTCATTTTTGACGATGCAGAGGCGGCCAGCTAGGATAGGGAAGAAATCAAGTGTGCGAGAGAATGAGATCTTGAGATGATCAACTATGGTGTTTGCTAGTAGTTGTTGTTGTTGTGATGGTGTGGGTTTGAGAAAGAGAAGACCCTTTTGGATAGGGCCAAGTAAGAGAAGCTGGAGATCCCATGGAGTTAACTCAATCCTCTTATCAGTTGATTCACTTGTTGGTTGGACTGTACTAGTGGACACGAACTGAATTTCCTCCATGTTTCTGTCTTTTACACACACACACACACAAAATTTAGTTCCTCTATGGTTGATTTGATATGCACAAACTCAATCTCCTTCCTGGGTGTTGCACAAATTAGCAATATAAATAGCAATTGCAATAGACTAATGCTAGAATTATTATTTGATTCTCAGTCTAAGCAACTATAATAAGGAAAAAGCTTGGACCCCGTTTTGGGCGTAAGGATCCTAGAGTTGGTACTTCTATTGTGCTATTTTCGGATGGATTTAAGGAGTGGCTGACCGGACCCTTTTTTCCGGCGAGATAAGGTGGCCAGCGTGGTGGAGATGGTGGGTTAAGGTGGTGGTGTAAGGGTGGAGCAAGGGTGTGGTGTTTGGCCACCAAGGAAGTAAAGGAAAATGAGTGAGAAGTTAGAAAGGAAAGCATGAAGACAACGATGTAAACAAAAACAAAAACAAAAAAAATCTGCACTTTTTTTTTTTTTTCTTTTTTGTGTTGAAATGGGGTGTTTGGTCACACCTACTATCAAGTTTGGAGTTGGCTTTAGATATCCTAAATGGAGTTTGACATAGGAGTGTGTTTGGCTCTAAATGATTGTTGGGAATATTATAATTCTACCCCCCTAAAGGAAATTTCGTCCACAAAATTTATTTATTTGTTTAGTCTAGTTCATACCTTGAAAAAGATGTGGATATCGAATTTTCATATCATCCTCCCGCTCCCAAGTAGCTTCCTCCAAAGCATGATTTTTCCACAATACCTTTACTAGTGGTATAGTCTTGGAACGTAGTACTTGATCCTTCATGTCCACAATCTCTATGGCTTCCTCTTCATAAGACAAATCATCCTTGAGTTGGATTGGTTGAAAATCTAACACGTGTGATGGGTCAGGCATGTACTTCTTCAACGTGGATACATGAAACATATTGTGAATGCGAGATAGACTAGGTGGTAAGGCCAAACGATAAGCAATCTTGCCAATGCGCTCTAGTATCTCAAATGGCCCAATATACCTTGGACTTAGTTTGCTTTCTTGCCAAATCGCATCACTCCCTTCCATGGCGAGATTCGTAAAAATACATGATCTCCCACTTGAAATTCCAAATCTCTCCTCCGATTATCTGCATTGCTCTTTTGTCTACTTTGAGCCACCTTCAACCTTTCTCGAATATTATGCACTTTATCGGTAGTAATTTGAACAATCTCTGGCCCTAACAATTTTCTCTCTCCAACCTCATCCCAACATACTGGAATTCTACATCTTCGCCCATATAAAGCTTCATAGGAAGCCATTCTAATACTTGATTGATAACTATTATTATATGCAAATTCTATTAAGGTCAAGTGTTCATCCCAACTACCTCGAAAATCTAGGACACAAGCTCTCAACATGTCTTCTAAAGTTTGGATTGTCCTCTTAGATTGCCCATCGGTTTTGGGGTGAAAAGCTATACTGAATCTCAATTTAGTACCCAAGGCATTTTGAAGACTAGGCCAAAAGTGGGATGTGAAGCGTGAGTCTCTATCTGAAACAATAGTTACCGGCACACCATGCAATCTCACAATTTCACCCACATAAACTTTTGCTAATCGATCAAGTGAAAAGTTTTTCTTAGTAGCCAAAAAGTGTGCAGATTTGGTCAACCTATCTACAACAACCCAAATAGAGTCATGTCCCTTCTGTGTGCGAGGCAGGCCCGAAACAAAATCCATGGCGATATGCTCCCATTTCCATTTAGGTATAGGAAGAGGTTGAAGTAAACCAGTTGGGCGTTGATGCTCTGTTTTAATCTACTGACATACCAAACACCTTGACACAAATTCTGTTATCTCTCTCTTCATATTTGGCCACTAATAACTTTCTCTTAAATTTCGATACATCTTTGTACTCCCCGGATGCATTGCATAAGGTGAATTATGGTCCTCGTCTAATATCTCACTTTTTATCTTGGGCTCATTTGGAACACATAATCGATTTTTAAACATCAACACACCATCTTCTTTAATAATGAAGTCTGACAGAGTACCATCTTTCACTCGAGCTCGGGTCTTCTCCAAAACTGAGTCTTTCCCTTGGGTTTCTCGAATGCAATCCACCAACAAAGGTCTCACTTTAATTGTAGCTAACAAGGATCCTGACTTCCCAACTGGCAGATCAACTCCAATAGATTTTATTTCATGCAAGAGACTAAATTGAATGCCCTGAGTGTGAGTTAATCTCCCTTTAAATTTCTGACTAAGAGCATCGGCCACCAAATTAGCTTTTCCTGGATGATAATTAATGGTGCAGTCATAGTCCTTAATCAGTTCAACCCATCTCCTTTGTCTCAAATTTAAATCCCTTTATGTGAATAAATATTTCAAACTCTTATGATCGGTATATATCTCACATTTTTCCCCATATAAATAATGTCTCCACAACTTTAAAGAAAAAACAACTGCTGCGAGCTCTAAATCATGGGTGGGATAATTGCGTTCATGGTTCTTCAATTGTCTAGATGCATAGGCCACAACCTTTCCATGTTGCATCAACACACAACCGAGCCCTTGATGAGAGGCGTCACTGTAAACAATAAATCCTTCACCACTTAATGGAATAGTAAGCACTGGGGCAGAAGTTAATCGCTTCTTTAATTCTTGAAAACTCTTTTCACAATTCTCTGTCCACTCAAATTTGGTATTCTTACAGGTCAAATGTGTTAATGGTGCCGTAATCAATGAAAACCCCTCTACAAATCTACGATAGTAGCCTGCCAACCCTAAAAAGCTCCTCACCTCGGTCACGTTAGTAGGACGATCCCAGTTCACCACAGCCTCTATTTTCTTCGAATCCACAAAAATACCTTCACCCGAAATCACATGCCCCAAAAATACGACACGATCTAACCAAAACTCACATTTTCTAAACTTCGCATACAACTTCCTTTCTCGTAAAGTCTGTAATACCACCCATAAGTGTTGTTAATGATCCTCTTGACTCTTGGAATAAACAAGTATGTCATCAATAAATACAATCACAAATTGGTCAAGGTATGGTTGAAACACTCTATTCATAAGGTCCATAAATGCGGCAGGGGCATTAGTTAAACCAAAAGGCATAACAAGAAATTCATAATGGCCGTAGCGAGTTCGAAAAGCAGTTTTTGGTATGTCTTCTTCCTTAATCTTAAGTTGGTGATACCCTGTTCTAAGATCGATTTTGGAGAACACACATACACCCTGAAGTTGATCAAACAAATCATCTATACGAGGCAAAGGATATTTATTATGCACCGCGACCTTATTCAACTGTCGATAGTCAATACACAATCTCATGGTGCCATCTTTTTTCTTCACAAATAACACAGGTGATCCCCAAGGCGAGACACTTGGCCTAATGAAGCCTTTATCCAATAACTCTTGCAATTGCATCTTAAGCTCCTTAAGTTCCGCTGGGGCCATACGGTAAGGTGCACTAGAAATTGGGGTAGTTCCAGGAATTACGTCAATAGCAAACTCAATTCTCGATCTGGGGGTAATCCAGGTAGTTCATCGGGAAAAACATCTACGAAGTCACACACAATTGGTATATCCTCCAGTCTTGGACCACTCAATTCGGAGTCAACCACATAGGCTAAGTATCCTTGGCTCCCCTTCTTAAGCATTTTTCTAGCGGTAATAGCAGAAATAACATAAGATGGGGACGCACATCGATCTCCACAAAATCTAAATTCAGGTTCCCCAAAATTGGAAAACACTACCTCTTTCCTCTAACAATCCACCAAAGCATGGTAAGAAGCCAACCAATCCATTCCCAAAATCAAATCAAAATCAAGCATCTCTAAAGGCAATAAATCCGCTACCATCTCCCTATCTCCCAACTGTAGTACACAACCACGATATACCTCCTCAATTATAACACAATCCCCAATAGGAGTAACAATGGATAAACGATAGCCTAGAGGTTCAATAGGTTTATTAGCATGCAAAGAAAATGATAGAAATACAAAAGAATGCGTAGAACCCGGATCAATAAGTACATGTGCCTCCCTACTAAATGCATAAATAATACCTGTCACCACCTCCGGATTAGCCTGAGCATCCCGCTGAGTCAAAGCAAAAACTCTTCCCTGTGAGGTTTGTCTATCGGATTGAACACCTCCTTTATTCTATTTGCCAAACCTAGTCCCAACCTGACCTCCTCCTCGGCCTCCCCCTCGGCCGACACCTGAAATTTTATTACTACCAACTCCAATACTGGCAGATGAAGCGGTTCGTGTGCAATCTCTAGCCAAATGTCCGGGTTGTCCGCAATTGAAGCAAGCTCGTGTATCTCCCAAATTAGTCATTTTTGGAACTATGCAATCTTTCACCAAATGACCCTTCTGGCCATAACGAAAACACAAGTCTTTACCAGCATGACAAACGCCTGTATGTGCCCGCCCACATTGAGTAAACTGAGATGATGTCCCACTAGACTGTCCATGACGCTGATTAGAAATGCTTTGGGTTGGGTGGGATGCTCTCTATTTTTTTAATATGCACTAGAGCTCTTGACTGAACCATAACCATGACCACCTCTCTTTGACGGTCTATTAGATGTGTTCTCATGATGGGATGAACTAAGGTGGCGCTTCTTCTGTTATTCCGCTAACTTCATTTCTATGACATCTTTCTTAGCTGTTAAGGCTTTATCAACCAAGGTCGAATAGTTAGTTATTCCCAATACTCGAATACGAGATTTGATGTCCAAATCCAACCCATCTATAAAACGACGACATTTGACCTCCTCATCATCCACAAACGAAGGGGCAAAACGAGATAAAGAAATGAACTTAGCTTCATACTGAGCTACAGTCAAATCCCCTTGCTCTAGCCGAAGGAACTCTCTCTCTTTTTCATACCGATAGGTAGCTGGAAAGTACTTGTCATTGAAAACCTTAGTGAATTGGTTCCAGGTCAATCCTCCAGTGCCACTTGCCGTAAGCAGGCGTTGCGTGGACTCCCACCAATATTCAGCCTCCTCCACCAGCATAAAACTAGCAAGTGCAATTGGCTGCTCGTCTGATACTTCCATCACAGAAAATATCTGTTCTACCCTCCTTAACCAGGCCTCTGCCTCCATAGGATTGGGCGATCCAGAAAATGATGGAGCCCCCAACTTCTTGAACCTCTCAATTGCGGTGAGACGGTTCTCTGTAGGTTGCACAAATGGCCTAGACTGTGCTGCATTATGTTGTTCAAGGATGCGAGTTTGCCTCTCCGCTAGGCTAGCCGCTGACTCTAAAAGGCGCTGCACACTAGGGTCTAAAAATGCTGGAGCTGCATTAGCCCTTGGTGGTACAACTCTATCTGAATGTCCCACTTCTGGATTGGCACTTGACTCTTGAGTTTGCTCATTATGCAATTCACGTTCAATCTCTTCTTCCTGAACCCGAGATGGAACTTCATTTCCAACACTAGGATGTGGCTCTCGCTCAGCCTCAAGTACTTCCATAAGGGGGCGACTCTTATGAACTTTTCGCCTTGCCATACACACCTGTATAACAAGACAATTAAAACTTAGAATACTAGATCGCTATTAAACATCATCACTAATTGAATTACTAACTACAATACCCTATCAACTTTAATTCTAAAGTAACTAGCCTACAGATTCATAACCTAATTCTCTGATACCAAAAATGTAACGACCCAATCTTGGCAAGGCAAAACCCCGCCAAGAGGGTGCACCTCAAACGCTATAGCACCTTTACACCACAATTCCTGTATAATTCTTACATCACATCACCACATCACCAAAAGTGCATAAGACCTTTCAATTTCCCAACATATATAAGATGATCTATTCAAAGACAAAAAGTATTATCATGCTACAAGATAGTTCCCAAGCATTTCCTCCCCAAAAAAATAATACATACTAATCACGAACCCATCAATACATCCAACTTCATAAGCAATATTTACAATCAACCTCCTTCATAAAAAAAATAAAAGGTAAACTTACATCCTAGAATGACCCTAAGCAAAACCTCAACTACAAGATGCCCACCTTTGATCCTTCAAAAAAAATTTCTAATCTTCCGAGTTGAGGCGAGCCACACAAAAGTCTATGAATCTTAAAAAAAAAAAATTATTTAAAAGAATGAGTTAAAGCCCAATGAGTATACCAATACCATGGAGTTATAAAACTTGCTCCTTCCAATTGGGTTCAAAATAATGATAATAAACATAAGAGCTTAATTGGACTGAAATTTATACAAAATAAAAATAAAAATAAAAATAATGAAAGTAAACAAAAATACAACTTTTCAATACGTTAAGATTTCATGTCCATCATACGAACCACTACATAGCCTTAGGGTCGCGTTACCTCGCAACTTGGGTGGTGACGGTACCGTTACCCAAAACATAACCATAGGAACATAACTCATGTCAACGTAGCACTTCAATTCTCATTTCAATGTTTCGGTCCCCAGGACCCCTTTTATATACAATGACCCTTATGGTCCTTAAAACATTTCGGTCCCCAGGACCCCAAAGCATTTTGGCCCTTGTGGCCCTAAAGGCTATAGTTGGTTATATGATCAAAACAAAAAAAAAATACCCTTGTACAACGTTTCATTGTCATTCAATCATCATCATCATAAAATTTGAAGGACTCAACTTAAATAAATTCTCATAAAAAAATTAGTGCTTCATTATACAAATGAAATCATATATTTATTTAAACTCAACTATTGGCCTCAATAGATTTATAGATTTATAGATTTTTCTTTTTATACATATACCATGATGAAATGTATCATTCACTTCTTTTAATTCAAAATTATCTTCAAACTTTATAATAAAGATAGAGGTAAGGTAATTTCTATGGTAAGTATACTCACCTCCAAAAATAGCAAAATCATAGATTGAGACTCTACAAATTAATTCCCAAGAGGTGTAGAGACGCCTTCCTCCTATCCTAACAATTAATAAATATGACCTAAAATTAGGAAAAAGCTTTCAATGAAAATTACAACATCTACAAAAAATGATCCTAAATAAAATTATGCTAAGGAATGACAAGCTAAAGAACTCCTCCAACTTCAAGTCACCCAAACAAATAACTTATTCAATCTCCACAACACCCATCCTTTGTACATCTTTGAGTTAGTAACTTTTTAAATATCCAATCAATTTATATGCACAATACCACCATTAATTAACTACAAAAGTCAAAAATCAACATTTTTTATAAACTCAACAACTTAAGTAAAATCTCTTCAATCACTTATAAAATTCCTCCATAGAACATAGAGATACCCAATCCACCATTTATCAAATCAATTTCAATATATAAATTTCCTAACACCAAAATCCCCAATTTTTACATTACATTCAAATCCTAGATTAACCCAAAATCTTAATCTCCAAAACAACCATCAAATTGATCATTTTTTAACATGTAAAACATTCATAGAAACTAATTGAGAGTATAAAATTCAACAATCAAACCCCAAATCATAATAGATCTAAAATACAAAAATTTCACGTCATCTCTAACTCAAAATATGTAAAACTTTAAACTAAACTTTTAGAGAAAGATTCTTACCAATTACAAGCCTCTAATCCATCAAGAAAATAAACCCCATGCTTTGATTCTTCAAAAGATTAAGAAAAATCTAGAGTTGGTAATGTTTGAATGGACATTTATAAAACTCCAACCAAAACTATTTATCAGTGCTGATGCTATACATATAGATTCATACAATAATTGTGATATTCAAAGAATATTAGTATTGTGGATTTGGAAAATGGCTCCAAAGAATTAGTACCATGGATTGTTTATTGTATTGTTGGGGTGGGGAGGATTGTGTATAGTACTGTGGAGGTGGTCATTTTCATGTTAATTTGCTGTTTTAGTTTACTTCCCAGACTACAGAAATTCGTACAACATATATCTTGTGTATTCCTGAAGTAGTTTACCAAAACATGACAACACAAGACAACTACAGTACGAAAAATTTAGAAAAGAAAATGGCTAATCAGGACACACCAGTAAACTAGCATTTTCAATAGTTAGCCTAAATTCAAAATGAACTTCTTTTAGTTACTGTCTTTCATTTCGTACACTAGATGATATTAGTTCAATTTATAACATGAACAAAAAAATCCAAGGAGTATACAGATGGCGTCCTCCACGTCAACTGCCACTTCATCATGGCCACCGAGGATGTGTGATTGTGGCTTTGGACATTGCGTTGTAAGGATATCAAGATCTGCCAAAAACCCTGGTCGTGCGTACTACGTTTGCCCTAGAACTACAGTGTGCTTGTGTTGCCACTCTCTTATGCACTTAGTCATGTCGTCGTTCATTTGTGGTCGTGTCGCATAGTATGCATACTAACTATCTACTGCAATTTTGTCCAGCAGAGATGTGTTGCGTGGGTTGGTTGGTGTGACAAGTTTCGCAGCACCAGGTTGGGTACTAACCAGCCACATAATGATGTTGATCTGGGGTTACGAGCGGACGTTACGCGCATAGATCAGAGCCTACGTACGCTTAGGACGGTCGTTGTTTTTTTGTGCGTCTTACACTTTTATTTCACTTTTGGGCATGCAAAAAATATCTACTCTACTTTATTTGCCACTGATATTGCATTAATTTTATAAGCAGGACAGCACTACTCATGGCAACAAACCGATCACCTCCCCGTACCCCTTCAAAGTCTCGAGGTAACGCTGTCACATCAACCCAACCCCAGCCAGTCCACAAATGCCAATTCGACAGCGACAATACGAAGCTGTTTGGAAGGTGGTAATTGACAACCGTGCGGATTGTCCATGGCAGGGTATAAGAACGTAGCAAACAAATTTCTAGAGAAAACCGGCCTACTACATTCAGCCAAACAAATGAAAAACAAGTTTGACAACTTGAAGAAAGATTGGGTCGCCTAGAAGAAGTTGGAGAATGCCAGCCACGGCTTGATAGGGCTTGGGCACGACCATGAGACAGGCTTGATCACTGCACCTGACCATTGGTGGGCGAAAATGCAAGCGGTATGTTCTCACAAAACTTTTATGGTACGAGTTACATTTATTGTTTTGTAATTACATTTCAAGCTGTAGTAAAACATATGTGTTTTCTCCTTCACAGATGAACAACCGATGTGCTAAATTCAGGAGTAAGCCTCTAGAGCACGTGGATCTCATAGAGCAGGTGTACTCTGGTGCAGCAGCGATTGGGAAACATGCATGGACTCCAACAGAAGTGCAAGATGATGTTGCTGCTACAACCAATGCCATAGACGTGGATAGCGGGATGGGACCTCTCAGTACAAGCACACCACCACAGCCAGGCCATGACACTGTCGGGGAGAACGTGGTTGATAGTAGCCTATTTGAGGATGCTCCCCCCCAGTCAGCCATGGACGGATCAGCCAATCCAAAACGGCGCAAGCGGGCAACACCTGGTACTGTTGCTAGTAGCATAGACAATCTCGTGGAAATAGTGAGCAAACAAAGCAGGGAGCTGAAAATCACATAATACGTTGCCACGGGTAAAGGCGACAATACAGTGAGGGACCATCTTGCACGGCTTATGAGCACGCCTGGATTAGAGCCAAACGGTCAGTTGTTCTCATTCACATGCGGCATAATGGATTCACCCGATAATCGGGACATCATCATGGCCCTCCCCTAGAATTACATTGTCAACTGGTTGACAGAGAAGTGTACTTGCACGCCGGCCAATGTTGGTAGGGATCATGAAGGGGGGACACGGCTATTCGAGAGTGGTGGTGCTGTTGACTTGGACTAGGCCTTTGTGGTTGGATTGTCATGTTACTATTTGCTTATCATGAGATTGTAGTATATTGTATTGCGCTCTTTTTTTTTTTTTTTTTTTTTTTGGATGGTGAAGTCTCGAGACAGTTTACATTTCTTCTATTTTTGAGTAGACGTGTATGTATGCTTCTGGAGGACTTTGCAGGGTTATTTTGGTTTGTTGTGCTTTTATTTTGGTGTGGATGTGTATGTATGATTCTGCAGGACTTTGCAACCGATATGCGAGTATACACGCCGTAAGGTGACATTATTTTAGTGTCACATGCTTGTTATGTTATGCACAACTTGTGTCCAGGGAATGTACATGCAATTTTTTGCAGGCTTTTTTTGGTTTGTTGTGTTATTATTTAGGGAATGTACATGCAACTCTTTGCAGGCTTTTTTTGTAAATTTTGAAAAGTTTTTTGGTTTGTCCAGAGAATGTATATGCAACTCTTTGCAGGCTGTTTTTCGTTTATAATTAACAAAACGAACATTGGTCTTACAAAAGCAAATTGTAATTTCCTACAAAATTAGAAAGTTATATTTGTAATCCCCATGAAGGTTAAAACAACATTGAAAATGATGGGTTTTTTGAACTACGTTGAAATTAATTTTTGTGACAAAAAAAAAAGGATGAAAAGTAATTACATTTCTTTAATTGACTTATTTATTATTTATTAATTTTAGTTATTGTGTAAACTTATTTATTCAAATTATTTA